GGCTTTGCTTCAAACCTAGGGGGATGGAAGCCACAGGCGTGAGCCAGCCTCTGCCTTTTTCTGTTTTCCGAGTCCTTCTGTTTTTCAATGGCTCCCCATTAGTCTTGGGGTTAAAAACCATCGTCTTACCGCGTGCTGCAAGTCTTCATGGGTTTACCTGCCCCTCTCTCTTACCCTTTGGCATCAGTTCTTACCAGTCTTCCCCTCTGATCTTGTGCCGTGGTTTTCCCACCTCAGGGTTATTGTACCGGTTCCTTCTTCCTGGACTGTTCCCAGTTTGCCGATGAGCATCTCCTAGAATCTAGGACCTAGATGTTAGCTGAGCATCACCCCAGGCAGGGCTTTTCTGACCCCGGGAACACGGTTGGGTGAGATCCCCTGCCCCACGCCTTCACGCAGGCATCGCCGCTGTCCTTTCTGTTGCCGTGAAGATGGGATCTGGGCGTGCTCTGTGGAAGGAGTGTTACCTCCACAACGAGCTTATTCTTGCTCCTGGTTGTGTCTGCAGTTCACACCTCAGGGCTTGGGGAGCTCGGTACATGCTTAGGAAGTGAGTGCCCCTGGCTGCTCCCTCAGCTCTGAGCATCCCCGGGCCCAGGGTGCCTGCAGCCTGATGCGAGGCCCCGGAGGGGAACCCGGCGAGCCTGGCCTTTTGGGGATGGTGCCCCAGTCTCACCTGCATTGAACTCAGCGAGGGAAGTTAGACCGCCCTGCTTCATCTTCAGCATCCGCCTGCTTAGGCTGCGCTGTGATAGCAAGGGCCTCACAACAGGTGGCTTTTGGTGAGTTTGCCGTCAGCGCTGTGACCATGGCTTCCCTGTTCATGGTGTAGTTCTCATAGGTGGTGTGTGAGCCCGTGTTCGTACAGCCCAAGATGACGGAGCGGGGTTAGAGTCTGTCCCTGATGGTGGTCATATTTCCATAATACTTCGTCGTTGCTTAGATGTTGCTTTACTTACAAGGTGGATGAGCCCATATCCAAATCAGTGGAGTCTTACACCACAAAGAAACGTTACTATTTCTCAGTGTGGTGGATGTTCATGGAAGATCATGCATGTGAAGTGCTTTAACACAGTACCAGGCACATGCTGTATGCTCGGTTAGGAAACAGCTCCTGTTGCCCTGTTCCTGTTTCATAGGGGTTTTTGGTAATAGATATTAGTAATATTCCAGTTGAGATTATATATGAGTGT